AATAACCCCAATAGTTTTTTCTCAAATTTCGCGGTAATTGATTGGAAAAAAAATGTTAAACATTTTTTTGAATGTTTTATTGCATGTTTGAACCCTTTTCGGAAAAAAAGCGACTTTTGGGCCAAACTCTAGGATTTTTGAATTTTTGTAGGAAAATCACTGAACTTGGGATTGTTATTCTCACACGATGATTGAGGAACATACAAAAAATGAGAAAAACTTCAATTCCACGAAAATTGGGAAAAACTTGGGGAATTGTGAAAAAATGGAAAAAAGAGGAAAATGAGGAAACAGTAAGAATACAAAGACAAGAAAAAATTTTCCTCAGCCACCATCAACACTCACACTGCTGCGAACTGTGAGCATCCCGTTTGCTAATCGCTCCAATTATGTCGTCGTTCTCGTCGACACTTATACATGCCTCTCGCATGTATTCCACCTGTTTAGCATTGTAGCTCGCCAGCTCCACGTGGCATTGTTGTTCTTGGCGGCGCGGTGCCAATGCTGACAGACCCCGTAGCGATGAGAGTTTCTTCATTTTGAAAGGGGAAGGCGGTGGCCTAGAAAAAGTTGGAGGATAGTTAGGCCAGCTATTTTTTCGGCCAGAAAGCGTCAAAATATGGAATATTAATCGCTTGAAAATAACGATTTTTTAACATTGAAGAAAAAAATTTTCAGAAAAACCGGTTTAATAAATTTTGAAAAACCGCGTATTTTAAAAAGAAAGAAATTTTGAGAATCAAAAAAATCACATAAAAAAAGACCACAAAAACTACAAAAATTAAAAAAATAGAGAAAAATTAAGGATTCGCCTTCCGATGGCCGGCTACACAGTCGGTGGTGCAGAAGTTGAAATGGGAGTATTGGAACGGGGTTGGTGGAAGTTGTCGGCCACACTGAAAATGGGGTTTTTAGAGAGATTTAGAGGGGAAAATCTGAAATTTTGAGCAAAAATTTGAGATTTATAGGATCAAAATCAGCCATTTTACGGTCAAAAATGACTTTTTTTCTAAGTCGAAATTGAGATTTTCAGGTCGAAAATTCATTATTTTGTTGGCTTCAAAAATGACACTTTTCAAGTTGAAATTAGGATGTTTTTGGCTTAAAATTAACCATTTTTTCGGTTCGAAACTACGATTTGAAGGTTCGAATTTTGCTCATTTTTTGGTGTCAAAATTGCATTTTTATGATTAAAATTAGCTATTTTTCGTTCCGAAAATGACACTTTTTACGTTTCTGGGTCCGAATTCGCTATTTTTTGGATCCAAATTAGCTACTTTTGGGGAAAGAAATTGAAATTTTTTGTTTCAAAATTGACATTTTTCAGATCAAAATGCTGAATTTTTCGGTCTAATATGAACATTTTAAGATCTAAATATCCAATTTTCCGAGGCGAAAAACACCTGATTTGGGGACTAAAAGGGGCTATTTTTAAGCTCAAAATTTCCAATTTTTGGTGTCAAAATTAACAAGTTTAGAATCAAAATTCTCAATTTCTGGGATTCGAAATTGACCTTTTTGTGGTCAAAAATGATATATATATATATATATTCAGAAGCGAAATTGAGATTTTAGATTCCAAAATGCGCTATTTTCGAGCAATAATCATTTATTTTTGAAATTGAAAATTGATATTTTTGGTATCAAAACTGACAATTTTAGGATCAGAAATTCTTATTTTTAAAGCCAAATAAAAAACGAATTTTCGAGAACAATATTACCTAATTTTGAGACTAAAAAGGCCCATTTTTAAGCTCAAAATTGAAATTTTTAGGGTCGAAAACTTGAATTTTTAGGATTAAAATCCGCTATTTTTAGATTAAAACACATCACATCCTCTACCTGATGACACCTCATAATTGGCGGTAGCCCAGCCAGCCGTCTCTCCACCGCCTGTGCTCTCCGCTCTCTCTCCGACATCTCCCGGTACTTTTGACATTCCGCATTTTCCAGCTCCATCTCCTTCTGCTCCTCCTTCTTCGTCCGTTCTCGCGCCTGAAAATAAGAACTCAGTTCTTTTCAAAAAAAAGAAATTTTGAGGAAAAATCTAGTTTTTAAACCAAAATTTGAAGAACAAAACATACCGATTTTTTGGACTCTAAAATCCATTATTTTAATTTCAATCAATTCGAAAAAAAATGACCAAAAATTCAGAATTTCAGCCAATTTTCCTCCAAAAAAAAGAGACATTTTTTCAGCATTTTCAGCATTTCTAGCCAAAAAAACCAAGAAAAATTGTTTATTTCTATTCAAAAAATAGGGAAAAAATGGATATTTTTTTTTATCGCGTGACGTCTTCTAGAATATTCTAGAAGCTTCTAGACCAATCAAGTGATTTATGAATGATCATGGCCTAGAAAAATCTGAGAAAACTAGGTAGTGAACTAAAAAAAATTGGTCATGACCTAGAAAAAACTGGGTCACGACCTAGAAAAAACTGGGTCACGACCTAGAAAAATCTGGGTCACGACCTAGAAAAATCTAGGTCAAGACCTAGAAAAATCTAGGAAGAATAATCTAGGTCATGACCTAGAAAAATCTAGGTCACGACCTAGAAAAAAACTAGGTCACGACCTAGAAAAATCTAGGTCACGACCTAGAAAAAACTAGGTCATGACCTAGAAAAATCCAGGTCATGACCTAGAAAAAACTAGGTCATGACCTAGAAAAATCCAGGTCATGACCTAGAAAAATCTAGGTCGTGACCTAGAAAAAACTAGGTCACGACCTAGAAAAATCTAGGTCACGACCTAGAAAAAACTAGGTCATGACCTAGAAAAATCTAGATCATGACCTAGAAAAATCTAGGTCACGACCTAGAAAAAACTAGGTCATGACCTAGAAAAAAACTGAAAAAATTAGGTCACGAAAAAATTTTTTTTCGCGATTTTTCGATTTTTTATCGTAAAAAATCCCTTTTTAAACCATTTTTTGTGGTCCGAATTTTATGATTTTTGGGTCATTTTTAGCCAAATTTTCACCAAATTTCCCACAAAAATCCTCACCTTTTGTCGCTGTTTCTTTTCCCGCTGCTTCTCGGCCTTCTCCTTCTCTTGCTCTTCTGTCAATTCCACTCTTTTCTTCGGCTCCGGAATGTGGGTTCTTCCCCAATTCGGTCCAGACGGGTCATTTTTCGATCGATAATCGACAAAAATCGATTTGATCTCCGCGTTGGCCGAGGAGGAGTACGGTGGAAGGCCGGCGCCGTCCTTGGCTCCAGAATCGCATTGGACGTCGTCGAGGAGGTACTAAAATCGAATTTTGGATCGAAGAATCATTTTTTGGCGGCGAAAATCATGTTTTCAAGTCGTAATTACTGCTGTTTTGTGGCGAAAGAAACTCATTTTAGGGTCAAAAATTCGATTTTTGAATGTCATATGTGCCGATTTTCAGGTCAAAATATATATTTTTTTAGAGTTGAAAAATCCATTTTCAAAGCTTAAAACTCACTTTCAGACAATTCTTGGCACTATTCGCCGCTGAGACATGCAAAAAATGCGAGCGATTCGGTGGAATTTTGGCGTTTCTCAGATAGTCGATCGCTTCGTTTTTGACGTCTTCATTCAGCGATTCGACGTGTTCACGGAGGGATGTCGCGTCGTCACGGCGGATGAGGTTGTAGGTCTGGAAATTTCGAGGTTAGGGTGTCACTGTAGTTGGGGTACTGTAGTTGGTATTTTGGTGGTCGAAAATCTGGCATTTTTAAGTCATATTTCAGCCAATTCATGCATTTTCAACTACTTCAAACACCAAAGTTTGTGATTTTTTGAGCCAATGTTTGAATAAAATCATTGGGATTACTGTAACCGGATTACTGTAGTCGATTTTTCGGGGAGCCATTTCAGCCATATTTAATGCCGATTTGTAGCTTAATTTTAGCTAATTTGCAGCTATATTTGAAGCCAATTTTCAGCTTGTTCCAGTCGGGTTACTGTAGTTTTTACAGTCGGGTTACTGTAGTTCGTGAAATTCAACCTATTCTAGTTCGATTTTCAACCTTTTTTAAGCCTATTTTCAGATGCCATTTTCACTTTGAAAAAATTTAATTTCCAGCCATTGTTAGGCCGATTTTCAGCAAATAAAATCCAAATTTCCGTCATTTTGAAAGCGATTTTTACCGCCAATTTCTCCCACCTTCTGCCTCCACTCATCATCAAGCCCTGGCCACTGAATCGACTGCTGCACCACGTCTTCCGATGCCTTTCTCATCGCTCGCACTCGAATCTGTTGTGTCTTCCTTGCCTTCTTTTCAGATTGCTCATCCTTGTTCTCGTCATCATGATCACTCCATTCGCAAATCATCGATAGTCCACCGTCTTTTCGCTTCCTCCCAGCCACTTTTCTCGCCAATTCCTTTCGTTTTTCACGGATTTCTTCCATTTCCGATCGGAATTCCGAGTTGGTCCCGTGGGGTCTTACTTCCTGAAACAAAAAAAAATCGATTTTCAGACAATTTCAGCTATTGTAAAAGCCATTTTTAGCCATGATTTAAGTCAATTTTCAGCCGATTTTCAGCTATTCTCGAAGCTGATTTTCAGCCATTTCAAAATACAATTTTTAGCGAATTTTAAATTCCGATTTTCAGCCAAATTTCAGCTATTTTCAAGCCGAATTTTAGCCATTTTTCAGCCAAATTTCAGCTATTTCGAAGCTAAATTACTGTTATTTTAGGCCATTATAAAGCCCCACTTTAGGATTACTGCAGTTAGTTTGGGTTGAAAATCAGCCATTTTGAAGCCAATTTTCAGTGATTTTTAAGCCGAATTTCCGCTATTTTTAAGCTAATTTCCAGTCATCTTAAAGCTAATTTTCAGTGATTTTTAAGCCGAATTTTAGGTTTTTTAAAGCTAATTTTCAGTGATTTTTAAGCCGAATTTTAGGTTTTTTAAAGCTAATTTTCAGTGATTTTTAAGCCACTTTAGGATTACTGCAGTTAGTTTGGGTTGAAAATCAGTCTTTTTAAAGCTAATTTTCAGTGATTTTCAAGCGAAATTCCAGCTGAATTTCAGCTATTTTAAATGCCGATTTTCAGCCGAATTTCAGCTATTTTGAATCCGAATTTTAGCCATTTTAAAGCCAATTTTGGGTTACTGTTGTTAGTGAATTTTTCAAGGGGTGAAAATCATCCGTTTTAAAGCTGATTTTCGGTGATTTCGGAGCCAAATCGCAGCCACACTTTTTTCGCCATTTTTCGATAATTTTCAGCTATTTTAAACCACATTTTCAGCCAATTTTCAGCTATTCTCAAAGCTAATTTTCAGTCAAATTTTTTGTAATTTTCAGCTATTTTTAAGCAAAACTATACTATTCTGGTAATTTGTGCTTAACCGGACGTTTTAGAACGGTTCCAAAACGTCCAGTTACAGAATGGCAGGATTCTTCACACCTGGAGACGTCGCCACGTCTCTCGACCTCATCCTTCGTCGGTCGCTTCGTTTCGAATGGAATCGTTCGAATTCGCGCGTCACGTGGATACAGATCAGCGTTGGCTTCAAAGAAGACACTACGATGATAGGTGGCGCATCGGATGAACACCAGGGGGGTCTTCTGAAGGTGTTGACTCCAATCACGGACCATTTGCTGGATTTCTTCCTTCATTTTTTGCTCGTTGTATCTGAAATTTCGGGTGGTTTTGGGAGTTATTTTTAGGCCAAAAATGAGCTAAATTAGGTCCAAAATTGGTCATTTTAAGCTAAAAATGAGCAAAATTAGGTCCAAAATTGGTCATTTTAAGCCAAAAATGAGCTAAATTAGGTCCAAAACTAGTCATTTTAAGCCAAAAATGATCAAAATTGGTCATTTTCAGCAGATTTTAATGAAATTAGGTCCAAGATTGGTCATTTTAAGCCAAAAATGATCGAAATTAGGTCCAAAATTGGTCATTTTAAGCCAAAAATGAGCAAAATTAGGTCCAAAATTGGTCATTTTAAGCCAAAAATGAGCTAAATTAGGTCCAAAACTAGTCATTTTAAGCCAAAAATGATCAAAATTGGTCATTTTCAGCAGATTTTAATGAAATTAGGTCCAAGATTGGTCATTTTAAGCCAAAAATGATCGAAATTAGGTCCAAAATTGGTCATTTTAAGCCAAAAATGAGCTAAATTAGGTCCAAAATTGGTCATTTTAAGCCAAAAATGATCGAAATTAGGTCCGAAATTGGTCATTTTAAGCCAAAAATGAGCTAAATTAGGTCCAAAATTGGTCATTTTAAGCCAAAAATGAGCAAAATTAGATCCAAAATTGGTCATTTTAAGCAGATTTTTTTTTTAAGCAGATTTCTGTCATTTTCAGGTCTAAAGTTGACTATTCTTAGCCTATTCTCACGAAATTAACCTTCTCAACTGTGCTCCCGCACTCTTCGCCGCTCCTTTACCACCGGAATCGTGTTGCGATTGGACGCCTCCTTGTTTCGCACGTGCCACATAGCGATGGAACGATTTTTGAGCCGCGATTCGGTCGCTGAAAGTGAAAAATGGGTCATTTGAGCTATAGATTTAAGGTACAGAATCCAATTTTTTCACTTATTTTTCAGAATTTTTAAAGCTAATTTTCAGACATTTTGAGCCTATTTTTAGCCAATTTTCGGTCTATTTTTGAGCTATTTTAGGTCAATTTTAGCTAATTTTTCAGCCAAATTCTCTCCATACTTCTCAAAAACCGCTGCCGCAAAATGTCCACCATTCCATAGGATGATGGTACAATTGAACGGCCGTAAGAACGTCGAATTCGTGACGTCCGTCTCATTCACGTGGAGAATATTCCGGGGAATCGAGAAGACGTGGTCGTCGCGAACGAAGAATGCACGATTCGCGGGGAGGAGGAGCGCGTCGAATTCTTCGTCGTCTGATTCTACAGTAGCCGATAGGGTTTGGGATGATTGGGTGAGGTCTGGAATTTGAGATGTTTTAGAGCATTTTTGGACTTTTTCAAGCCATTTTTCAGGCAATTTCAGGCGAATTTAAGACATGTTTAGACGATTTCAAGGTCAATATGGGCCATTTTCTAGAAGCTTTTGGGTTTAAAGAAAAAGAAATTTCTCAAAAATCTGATTCTTCGAGCTGATTTTCAGACATTTTTTAAACCGATTTTTAGCTTATTTTTTTGCTCATGTTTCGCTCAATTTTAGCTCGTTTTCAGCTTATTTTCAGCTGATTTTTGACCGATTTTTAGCCGTTTTTCTGTAATTTCAAGACATTTTAGCTCCATCTCAGACATTTTAGCCAATTTTGAGCCGATTTTTGCCGATTTTAAACATTTTAAAGCTGTTTTTTCACTAATTTTCAGCGCCGCCTATTTGAAGCAATTTTAGCCAATTTCAGTTTATTTTCAGCCGGTTTTTCGCCTATTTTCAGCTGATTTTTGGTCGATTTTTAGCTGTTTTTCAACCGGTTTTCAGTCATTTTCAGCTGATTGGGGGAGGTCTGGAATTTGAGATGTTTTAGAGCATTTTTTGACTTTTCGACCATTTTTAGATCATTTCAAACTATTTGGAAACAATTTCAGACGATTTTAGAGCATTTTTGGACTTTTTTAGACACTTTTTGAATATTTTTCGACCATTTTATAGCATTTGGGACTCATTTAGACTATTTTCAGGTAATTTTGAACGAACTTTAGGACAATTTTAGACCAATTCAGTATGATTTTTGACTATTTTGCAGTGAATTTGGACCATTTTCTAGGGTCTTTATAGCCGATTTTTAAAAGAGTTTCTCAGCCTAATTTCTAGCGATTTTGAGACGATTTGTAACTATTTTAGTGAGTTTAAGCAGATTTTTAGCTGTTTTAAGCCTATTTTCCCGATTTTGAGCAGATATTAAACAGGCCTATTTTTGCCAATTTTCTAGCACTTTTCAGCCGTTTTTCTGCTGATTTTTAGCGGGTTTTCAGCCTATTTTTAGCCATTTTTAGCTCATTTTTGACCGATTTTTAGCCTATTTCCACCAGTTTTCTGCCCAATTTTTAGCCCATTTTCAGACGATTTTTAGCCAGATTCTCAACTATTTTTAGCCAATTTTTAGCCATTTTTAGCAGATTTCAGCCTATTTTCAGCCATTTCCAACCGATTTTTAGCTCCTCACCATGATCATCTTTCTCCGTTCCATCAAAATCTTCCTCCTCAAAAATCGGCAAATTTTTCGCCTTTCTCAGTATGTTGGTCCGATGGAATAGCGATTGATAGTGCTCCAGAATCGCTGAACGATCCTGGAAATCCACGGAGCACTGGCAGGTGGTGCACATGTCCGAGTCTTCTGATAGGCGCATTTTCCATTCTGCAAAATTGGCATTTTTTGGAATTTTAAAAATAAATAAAAAATTGGAAATTTGAAGGTGAAAAATTCAGCAATTATTGTAAATCTGAAGCCTTAAAATGGCGAATTTTCGTATAATTTTGAGTTGAACAAGTACATTTTTGGATACCAAAATTTGGATTTTTGCCTCTGAAAACTCGAATTTTCGCTTCAAAAGTCTCAAAAATGGCCTATTTTAGCATTTAAAGGCGCTAGTTTTGACTTGAAAATGTCATTTAAGGTCCAGAAATTTCAATTTTTGTCTAGAAAATTCAACTTTGGAAACTGAAAATTCTTAAATTTCGAGTCTGAAAATGACAAATTTTTGGCTGAAAATATCAGTTTTTTTTTCTTTTTAAAACTGGATTTTCAGCAATTTTCTCGAATATTTTCCTGAAATTTTCCAATTTTTGACTCCCAATCAGCTATTTTTCGCTCAAATTCTGGATTTTTTGCCTGAAATTTTTAAAATTTGACTTTGAAAATTCAGTTTTCTTATTTCAAAAAACTGGATTTTCAGTTTTTCTTCTGGTATTTTTTGATGAAATTTTAGATTTTTTGACTGCAAAAATCCGTTTCAAAATCGAATTTTCAGCCATTTTCTCGCATTTTTTACCTCGAAATTCAAATTTTTTGGCTTAAAAACTGGATTTTCAGCTTTTTTTTCGATGTTTCGTCTTCCAAAACGGATTTTTCAGTAATTTTTTTAACGCTATTTTTCTACTATCTTCAGCAATTTCTAACCTAACATCAACGCCATTCCAGCGTCAGTTTCCACTGAAACCGACTCCTTTTCAGTGACTTTTCCACCCGAAACCTCCTCCTCGTTTTCCTCGATTCGAAACGCCTCGACTCCGTTCATAAATTCCAGACTTTTCAGCGTTAAAACCATGATTTTTGGGGCTGAAAATTGCGAAAAAATGCAAAAAAATGCAAAAAAAATTAGGACAAAAAATATAAGAAAAATCGGCAGAAACCAGTTAAAAATCGGCAAAAAAATAGGCTAAATTGTATTTTTCTTCAAATTTTCGAAAAAAAGAAAAGGAGTAAAAATGACACAAAAAACGCCAAAAAATTGGGGAAAAATGTACAGAAAAAATGAGAAAAAACAGTTAATAATATGCGATCTGACTGATTGAATTCAATTATTATGGAAAAATTTTGAAAAATTGACAAAAAAAAATTTTAAAAAACAGGAAAATAAGTGGGAAAAAAGGCCTATAATTGACTCGTTTTTGGGGGGTAAATCAGAGTGAAAAGTGAGGAAAATGGGGGTTTTTGAAGCTGAAAATGGGAATTTTCAGAGCCAAAAATACCTTTTTTGGAGTAAAAAAATAGAAATTTTCAGGTCTAAAATGACAATGCTCGGCTTAAATACTGGAGGTTTCAAGTCAAAATTTGAACATTTTCAGTAGAAAATACTTCTGGCTAAATTTTGAAGGAATTTTAAGTCAAAAATCAAATTTTTAAACTCAAAACAGGCGAAATTTATGTCGAAAATTCAGAATTTTTGAGTCGAAATTCCGATTTTTTATCCCAAAATTGACATTTTTGAGCTTCAGAACTGAAGTTTTTAGATCTAAAAATGATAATTTTCGGCTTAAAAATACTGGAAATTACGAATCGAAAATTGGGAAATTTCCAGTCGAAAATTCGCATTTGTAGAGCAAAAAATTGGGAAATTTAAAGTCAAAAATTGAACATTTCCAGTCAAAAAATAGCATTTTTAGACCCCGCGAAAATGACATATTTGAGCTGCAAAATAGGTATTTTAAGCTTCAAAAATGACGTTTTTAGTCTGAAATTACGAAATTTCTGTTGAAATTTTAAACGTTTTCAGTCGAGAATTCGAATTCTAGAGCTCCAAAACTGTACTTTTCTAATCCAAAAATGTCATTTTTGGGCTCTAAAATTGGTTTTTCGAAAATTTCTACTCGAAAATTCTTTCTAGGCCCAAAAATGACATTTCTGAGTTCCAAAATTGGCATAGCTAGCTTAAAAAAATTGAAAGTTCGAGATCCGAAAATGACAATTTTTAGCTTAAAAACTGGCATTTCAAAGCCCAAAAGTGCCATTTTGAGTCTAAAAATCGCATTTTAAGACGCAAAAATACCATTTTTGAGCATAAAAACTGGAAATTTCGTGCCTAAAATCGCATTAGGGTCAAAAATTCGAATTTTCTGACTCAAAATTAGCCATTTTCAAGTCCAAAACCTTCCAAACCTTATACAATAGAAAAAACAAACAAAGAAAAAGGACAAATTTTCGGCAGACAATAATTAATTGATTACACAAAAAAAAAATGATCCAGATGTTAATTACTCTATAATTAAAGTTAATTAATTAGTTTTTTGTCCTTCATCCCCAAAACTTTCGGGTCCAAATCTCCATTTTCCACTACTAATGCGTACTCTTGGGACGTGCCATCGTCTGTTGCTGCGGTGCCATCATCCGGGATATCGCATTGATCCATGACCGCATATCCTCATCGTTCACCGCGCAGATACGGTAGATTGAGTGTCTTCCCTCGACGAGACGACCGTCTTGCTCGGTTTTACACGCCTTGATTTGGCCGTCAGACAAAGAGTAGATCTGCAAAAAATTCCAGTTTTTTAAAAGAGATTTTTGCGCTTATTTTTGAGCTTTTTCCGGTAGAAAAATGGTTAAAAATCAGCAATTTGGGGTCGAAAATCGTTAATTTCAAGCCGAGAATTAGAGTTTTTAGCATGAAAAATAGCTCATTTTATAACTGAATTGCTGTTTTCAAGGTCAAAAATGGCAGATTTTCGTTAAAGAATACTGAAAAATCGTCTTTCTAGTCGAAAAATTAGTATTTTCAGGGTCAAATTCGGATTCTACACAAATTTCGAGCATTTGTTAGGAGATTCTTACAATCAAAGATAGCTGATTTTTGAGCTTTTTCAGGGTTGAAAATGGGTCAAAATGAGTGATTTTGGCCCAAAACCTCGAAATTTGGGGTCAAAAACCGTTATTTTGAAGCTGGAAGATGCTCAAATTCTAATAGACAAAACCAAGATGATTTGGAATCGAAAAGTGGAATTTCGAGGTTGAAAATAGCATATTTTAGAGCCGAAAATCCTAATTTTGGGGTCTAAAATGTATTTTGTGAACTCAAAGATTTGAGAGAGATTCAGCCAGAAAACGAGCATTTTTCCGCTGAAAAATGGTATATTTAGGTTGAAAAATCTGGAAAATTTTCAGCGTTTTTTGAAGATTTTTATCTTATTTTTGAGTGTTTGTCAGGTTAAAAAATTGGTTAGATTGGACAAATTTCTCCTCCTTTTCAGAGTTTTTAACACAAAAAATGACATTTTTCGAGCTTTTACAGCGTTGAAAATGGTTAAAAATGAGTAATTTTTGAGGTCAAATTTTGAAATTTCGGAGCCGAAAATCCTATTTTCGGGGTCAAAAATTGAGAGCGAATTCAGCCAGAAAATGAGCATCATTTTTGAAGCGAAGTTTTAGCTTTTTTCAGCTAGAAAAGTCTTGTTTTTAGGCTTGAATTCGAGCATTTATGATTAAAATCGATAATTTGGGTGTATGCAATTTTTGAGATTTTCCATTCGAGAATGCTGATTTTCTAAGCGAAATTTCAGCTAAACAGCGAAATTTCTAAGCGAAATTTCAGCTAAACATCGTCGTTTTTAGTCTGAAAGTTGAGCATTTTCCGATTCTAAACTACTACTATTTTTAGGCTCCAACTGACAGTTTTCAGAGCCGAAAATTGAGCAATTTGGGGATAAAATGCTCATTTTCCAGTACAAACAAATTCCATGAAAATTATAGTCAAAAATTCGCATTTTCAAGCTCCAAAATTGCAATTTTAAGATCCAAAAATATACCAAATTTAGCTTGAAAACTGGAACAAGGAGAAATTTCAGATTTTGAGCTTCAAAAAAACCCTCACCTCAAACATAAAGGGTCTAGTTGGCGCTTCGACTTTGCGTATTCCAACATTGGCGAGTGTGATGATTCCCTTGGGCTCCTTATCAGTCATTTGATCAAAGTAATACAGACAGTTCTCCGACAACACAAACCACCGTTTTTTCCACGAAAGAGCCCCGGAAAACAGTGGATTCGAGCTCTGTTTGAATAGCCAACCCTCTCGTTCGGCGTGCAGAAGAATGTCGTTCACTGATCCTTTTCCCGTTGGCGACACTTCATCGGGGATCTTGAATTGGGTGATGCTCACCGATTCGTACACTTCTGTCAGTTGTTCGATGGTGATAGCGCCCGATTCGAGGAGTTGCTGGAAGAAGAGAAAAATCGATATTTTTAAGCCAAAATCTGGATTCTTGAGAGGAAAAAATCGCTGACTCTCTGGGTCCAAAAATTCCAAATTCGTGCTGAAAAATCCAATATGCAAATTTTGAATTTTGAATAGCAATTTCGGGAGCTCGAAATTTGAATTTTCTAACTTTCTCTAGCTTTAAAATCTCTAGTTTTGAGTCAAAAAATGTCGATTTTCGACCGCAAAATGTGCTAATTGTGTCCCAAAAATAGCAATATATTAGCCTGTAAACTACAAAATTTATAGTCAAAAATCTGAATTTTTGAGATAAAAATCGCTACTTTTGAGTGGAATTTTCGACCCAAAAATATGCAAATTTTGAGCTGAAATTTCGAATTTTCAGCTCAAAATTAGCTAGTTTTGGGACAAGAAATGTTAATTTGGAGCTGAAAAATCGCAAAAAATCGGCCAAAAAATCAAAATTTTGAAGCTCAAAATCTGATGGCGCCCGATTCGAGGAGTTGCTGGAAGAAGAGAAAATTTAGTTGAAAAATAAGATTTTCTGATGATTAAAAAGATAATTTTGGAGCCCAAAAATCTTATTCATCGGTCATTTTCAGCTCAAATCTCTCGTTTTTAGCATGATAAGCAGCCTATTCTCCAGTTTTTTAGCATTAAAGGTGGGGGGACAGGAGATTTTACGGGGGATTTTTGGGGCCAGAGTATGCATTCTACCGTGACGGTGTACAACGCTAAATGTCACTCTGCGTACAGCTGTCGTCCTCGCCTTCATGTATGCAATCGGGCGGCCGCTTTCTCTTTGCCCGCGTAGCTCAGTCGGTAGCGGCGCCGCACCCTCAATCATAGCCCCAACAAGTTCAACTCCTCGAGGGGCATATTTAAACGAAATATCGAGAACATTATTTTTTTCATGTCCCCCCACCTTTAAATTATTTGTATTTTTCAGTTTTTTAGCCTTAAAATTATCCATTTTCAGTGAAATTTTTCAATTCAAACTTTAAATCGGCCATTTTGATCTCAAAATCTACGTTTCCAGCCTCAAAATGAGCCATTTTCAGTCGAAACTTGAAACGGTCATTTTGAGCTTAATTTTATCATTTTCAGCATGGAAAATGGTCTATTTTCAGATTTTAAACGTCAAAATGAGCCGTTTTCAGACAAACTTTTAGCTTCAACTTGACCAATTTTAAGCTTCAGATCGATCCCTTTGAGCTCAAAATTGGCTTGAAAATTCAGATTTTTAGCTTAAAAATGATCGATTATTCTCACCTCATTCATCTCGATATACTTCTCCAGTGTCGGCTTATCCTTCACATTGGGATTGTGCAACAACGTATTCACCATAATACACGAGTAGGCTACCGTATGCGCCTGATCCGCATTCCCGTACGACGGATTTTGAAGTGCGTAGATTTCGGCGAATTTCTCCAAAATTCGATTAATCTTTTGGGATTCGCCGGGCAGTCGGAACGAGAATAGGTACTGGCGGAGGGCTGGAACGATGGGGACGTCGTGGAGACGATGTTTCGAGTGAATTTATCTAGTGTTTCTAGGGCAAATGGTCGATTGTCGCCCAGGATTTCACCAATTGCCGATTTGGATAGCCCTTCGCCCTGGAAAATGATTTTTTTTTAAATTGATAGCATGATGGAAACTGGCTTAAAATCGACTAATTTTGGCTCAATTTGCTCAGAAAGACTCAAAAAATGGCAATTTCAGCTGAAAATCGACTAATTTTGGCTCATTTTTTCATCTAAAATTCGGTTTTTTGACATTTTTTTTTCTGATAATTTTCCAATATAAAACTACCAAAAATGAACATTTTGAAACTGAGAAATTGGCTCAAAATCTTTATTCTTAAGCTTTTCCTGATCAATTTTCAGTCTATTTTGGTCATTTTTCAAGTTTTCCGGGGGTGAAAATGCCCAGTTTTTGGAATTTTAAGTTATTTTTCGTTTCTAAAATCTCGATTTTGGGCATTTTTAAACTCAAAAATTACATTGTAAAATTACTGAAAACGGCTTAAAATCGACTGATTCAGTTCATTTTTGACTATTTTAGCCATAAAAATGCAATTTTCGGATTAAAAAACCATTTTTTGCTGCTAAAAATGCGATTTTTGACTCAAAACTCAATTCTTTCAACTCAAAACCGAAGATTTCAAAAACTCACAGCCTTCATCCACAACGCCAACGCTTGTGGATCCTTTGCGACGACATTCCGTGACGCTAGCCAATCTAACGCCTTCCATGGATCCTGATTGAACTTTTTTCGTCCGTTCACCACAATTTTTTGATAATCCTTCGATTTTGGATGGGTGTAGTAGACCTGGTCAAGTTCCTCGTCCACCTCTCGTACCTGTCAATTTTGGGAAATGTTTCGAAATCTAGATTTTCGGGAAAATGACGTTTTTCGGGTGTTTGGAACGATTTTTGGCTTAGTTTGAGTAAAAAATCGGGTTTTTTTCAGGGTTTTTGGGGTGGTAAACTTGAAATTTCAGAATTCTTCCATGCTTTTTGAGCTGAAAATTTAAAATTCTAGATTGTTGGGTTTTCAATGCTCAAAACGATTTTCAGGTGATTCTAGATGAACATTTTGGGTTTTTTGAAGCTTTTTGGATTAAGAAACTAGGAATTTACAATTTTTTTTCCAAAAAATTGAAAAAAATTTTTTTTTTTGAAAATTCGAAAATTGAAAGCTTTCCAATATTATTCTTCAGAGTTTTCAGCAAAAAATGTCATTTTTCAGAGCTTTTCTGTAATTTTGAAGCATAATTTTTTCAATTTTTCCAAGATTTTCAGCATTTCCAGCGATTTTCCGACTTCTTTCTCACCTCATTTTTCAGCGCCTCGATTTCATCGACCAGCTGCGCCTTCCTTTTTCGCACCTTTGGCAGTGTCATCTTTTCGCTCTCCGATGGCCCATTTCGCTCTAAAAATTCGAAAAATTGAGATTTTTTTCAAAATTTTGGATGACTCACCTGAATACCGAGACGACATCTAACCGACTTTTTTCCTATTTTCTGATGCTGAAAATCATAAATTTCGTTATTTTTTACTATAGAACTCTTTTTAATCAAGAAAAACCGACATAGAAATTGGTAAATTGATTTATCTCCTTGCAAGTCTTAATTGTCGTCAAGTTCGGCGCATGGTGTGCAGTCAGGTGGTAAGAGTGTTTGCACACTTTGCGCACCGTACCTCTTGCGAAATTTTTTTTAGTCAGCGCGAAATGTCAAATTTTGAAAGTGAGTCAAGGATTTTCAAGTAAAATGAATAAAAAAAAAGAAAAAATACAAAAAATTCAGGTTCCGGAGTGACCGACGCCGACAATTTGGACCTGGTGAACGAATTTTTCGGAAATTTCGAAAAATTCGAAATTCCAGAGCCAACACCAAAACCATCTGAAAATCCGTCCACACTCTGTGCAACATGGGTTCGAGACCAGAGTTTCGAAATTCAGCCGTAGGAAAATTTCAGAAAAATCCACATTTTTTGCTAAAAATCTAATTTTTCCAGAACCAATCATCCCGGCGAGGAACCAGTGGAATTCGCTGATTCTCCACTTCCAGAAAGCGTCACTAGTTGGCATGGATTTCAAGAAAATCGCAGACGAAAACCTGAGAAGCTTCTGGAAATTGAAAAATCCGAAAAACGACGAAAAAGTGGTTAGACATCAATAAAAACGATTTTTAGGGCAATTTGACTGAAAATTTGAAATTTTCAGCCTATTTTTCTCCTAGACAAGTTGATTTGTCTGAAAAAAACAAATAAAAATTAAAAAAAAAAAAATTTTTTTTTGAAATTTTTAGAATCTTCACCCCCTCCATTCTTCGAAAAACTCGCTGAAACTCAAAAAACCATTAAGGAAAACCCTGAAAATTGGCGAAAAATCGATGGAATTTATGTGGAAAAATCGCAATTTTCTGAAAATACCATTCCAGATTCTTTCCAGAGCAGTGGTGGTAAGTGCGCTCTATTGATAATTCTCAATAGAGCGAATTTCCTATGTTTACAGGTCCCAAAACCAAATTCCACGAGATTTTGGCACTTTTCGACAGTCAAAATACGGAAATTTATCAAACTTTTGAGTTTGAAAAGTAGGTGGCCGAGGTTTCTCCTGTTGCCTAGAAATTTGAAAATTCTCTTCCAGCTCATTCAAATTCGATTGGGAGCTGTACGAAAAAGACGCGTTTCAATATGTGGTTTTCACGAAAATCTGCCAGTCACATCCGGAAAACGAATTCGTCGAAATGAGAAAAGAGGATACGGTAGGTGTGCGGACATCTAGACATCTAGAAATTCGGCAAAAAAAATCGAAAATTTCAAAAAATCCTCAATAGAGCGAATTTTCAGATAAATCGCGTTCTTCTGAAAAATTCTAATTTTCGATGTGTTTTAATCGAAAAATTCTAATTTCGCGCCAATTCGAAAGATTCTCAATAGGGCGAATTTGCAAGAAAATCTAAATTTTTGTTTTCAATTAATGAATTTCTCAGAATTTTTCGAAAAATTCGAATTTCGCGCCAAATCGAAACTTTCGAAAAATTCAAATTTCGCGCCGAATCGAAAAATTCAAAATATTCTCGACAGAGCGAACTTGCAATAAAAATTAAAAATTTTCGGAATTTTGCTGAAAAATCCCGAAAAAATTCAAATTTCGCGCCAAATTGAACACTTCAAAAATTTTCAACACAGCGCATTTCCACCGAAAACTCGGAATTTTCGGATATTTTGCGAAAAAAAATCCGAAAAACTTCAAAAATTCAAATTTCGCGCCGAATCGAAATTTAAAAAAAATTCTCAATAGAGCGCATTTTCAACAAAAACTCGACTTTTTTCGATTTTTTGCTAAAAATCAACACAATTTCGAAAAATTCAAATTTCGCGCCAAATCTAATATATCAAAAATTCTCAATAAAGCGAATTTTCACCGAAAACTTTCAAAATTGTTCAGATTTTTTCATTTTTTTCCAGAAAAATTCAAATTTCGCTCCAAATCAAAATTTTCAAGAATTCTCAATAGAGCGCATTTTCGACAAAACTTGAAATTTTCGGAATTATGCTAAAAAATCAAAAAAATTTCTTAAAAATTCAAATTTCCCGCCAATTTCCCTATAATTTCTCAATAGAGCGCATTTACCAGCGCTGCTCCGATTGCGGAAGTTCCAATCTCGCCTTCTCGATCCGCCTAACCGTGCCCCTGGATCTCTCCGACGTCCCGATTCCAATTTTCGACGACATCCAAATCCACGTGTCATTTCTAGCCACCCATCTACTCGAAAAATCAGAAACTTCTGGAACAATGGAGTTTCTAGATCAATCTGTCGAATTTTCCAAGAAAAAGTGTCGAGAAATGTGGAATTTCGAGCAAAAGATGCAAAAAGAACGGAAAACGGTTTGGGAGTACAAACAATGGTTCGATGGGTTAAAGGAATTCGTTAAGGTGAGGAAAAAAGCGGGAATTTGAATTTTTGAAGACATTTAAAATTAAAACTTTTTTATAATTTTCAATTTTTAAAAAAATTTTTAATTTTTTTCAAAATTCTAATTTTTTAATTTTTCACTTAAAAAAAAATATTTTTAAGTTTTTTTCTTGAAAATTCAAAATTTTCAGAAATCGCTCCACTCCAAACGCCTTCATCTCCATCACGGCCGTGTGATCCGGCGAAAAATTGAGCAATTTCCGGTGGAAGCCAAAAAGCGCTGTTTGATTTTCGCCCAGTTATTTGATCTAGAAGATTCCTGAATTTTTAAAAAATCTGTAATATTTTCAATCATGTGTCATTAATATCCAGGTCATATAAAACATATTTAGATCACAATTGGATATTTCAAGATCATTTTAAGGATGAGCAATCATAAAAGGCTGAAAATGAAAATTGCCTCTAAAAACTGAGATTTTCAGACATAAAATGGGTCAAAATTAACGAAAATTGGGTTTTTATGAGGGGAGAAAAAGGGAAAATGGGCCAAAAGTAGGTCAAAAAACACAGAATTTCCACGATCATTGTCCCTCTGGATTCTCGTTGGCTTTCTTCTTCTCCTCCACCACACGATACGATCCGTTGATACATGTCAGAAGACCCAGTGCCACTTTCCTCTGAAGGAACGCCGTGACGTGATCGATGCTGGGACCGGCGGACGTTGGAGAACCGAACATTCTGTAGACACGATGCATCCGCTCGGCTTTCACCTCGCCGTTCGGGGAGTGATTCGCCTGAAAAATGGGGGTTAAAAATGGCTGAAATCGCAAACTACCGTAATCCCGAAAATTTAGATGTTTTGCAATTTCCATTTTTCGGGTTCAAAAATAACGTCTTTAGGTCAAAAGTTAGCATTTTTAAGCGCCAAAATTGCCTATTTTCATATTTTTTTAGCTCCAAAAGTAACTTCTTTTAGCAAGAGTTGCAATTTTTAAGTCAGAATTCGAAATTTTCGGATCGAAACTTGTTGAAATCTCATCAAAACTACTGTAACCCAAAAAATCTGAATTTTGCAAAAATTCGTATATTTTTAGCTCCAAAAGTGACGTTTTTAGGTGGAAAATGAACATTTTTAGAGCCAAAATTGTATTTTTTTTAAACGAAAATCTAGAAATTGAGCTCCGAAAAATGCGAATTTACTAGTCAAAATTTCGTATTTTTAGTGTCAAATTGAGTTTTTAAAAATCAGAATTTTCGAATTTTTGAAAAGTTCAAAAATGGATTTTTGGCAGAAATTCGACACTTTTGGGTTATAAATGGCTCAAATTGAATCAGAAAATCGCTGAAATTTCAGCCAAACTACAGTAACCCGGCAAAAATTTAAATTTTGCAAATTTCGCTTTTCGAAATTAAAGTTTTTAGGTGAAAAATTAACATTTTTAGAGCCAAATCTAGATTTTGAGCTCCAAAATTGCAATTTTCAAGTCAACATTCAATGTTTTTGGTGCCAAAATAAGCTTTTTTTCCCAGCATTTTGGCAATTTTCAAGCTCAAAAATGGAGATTTCTAGGTAGACATATATGATTTTTCGCAAAAATTCAACATTTTTAGGTCTAAAAATGGCTGAAATTCCAGATTTTTCTCTAATTTCGAATATTCTATTTCCTCAACAACAACAAAAAAAACGTACAATATAATTTTTGGTGTATCCCCAATACTGTTCCAACGCGTCGACCATATCCGAATTCTCTTCTGGCTCGACGTCTTCATCGTCGGCTACTTCTGGAGCGCCGGCCTGATTCGGGAGGATGCCGGCGGCGTTTTTAGTCAACGACCATGTGTCGCTGCTGATCACTGGGTTCTGAAATTAGGGATTTTGCTGCTGGAAATGCTTAAAAATCGGTCAAAATCACTCAAAATCGAGCTAAAAAGATGGGATTTCAGTCAAATTTCGTTAAAAAAAATGCTATTTTTGAAGACTTTTAAAGCCGAAAAAGACCATTTTAAAGGTGGTGTGCGGTGAAAAATTTTATTGCTTCATTTTGTGCAGAAATCCATGTAGATTCACATAAAGTTAAAGAAAAAGTTCAAAAAAATTCCTTCCTTGAGAAAAACGGCATCGAAAAGTCAAAGTGGGAACCGGTGGCCTAGCGGCCAGGTGTGAGTTTTCTAGGTCAACTGCCGGTAAAATCGCGCGAAGTTCGAATTTTTATTGATTTTCAGTGTTTTCTCTGATTTTTGTCAGGTGTCTTCATACACCTGGGAGGAAAANAACAAAAAAANNTNGAAATCTTNAAAAACGCCAGAGAAANCNNNGAAAATCAATAAAAATTCAAATTTCGCGCGCTCACTCAAAACTTCACTAAAAACTCACCATATTCACGAATCCCTGTTTCACCAGCCAGTTGAGTCGTTTCTTGGTGTTGCTTACCGTAATCCAAGCCGCTCCTGAACCTCCTTAGTCGTCCAAACCTCTTTTTCCAGGAATAGAAGAAGGGCTTGAGCGAATGCATTCGGAATGGTTCGCTCGATTTTCACACCGTCCACCTCGATTTCCAGCTCCATACATCTGCAAAATGTGTGCTTTGTGTTGATAAGGAATACATTTTGCAGTGGTGGCCTAACTTTTGCAAATTTGGTTTTCTAGGTCACCACTTCAAAATGGCCTAGAAACGGCCTGACATAACCCTGGTATGATTTCTATGCCATTTTTAAGTGGTGGCCTAACTTTTGCAAATTCGGTTTTCTAGGCCACCACTTCAAAATGGGGCCAAATTCGATAATTTTTTAGATTGAAAACACTTGAAATCAGGCCGATTTTTCATAGATTTAGAGACCAAAATTTCCGGGTTTCAGAAGTAAAAAAACTATGGAGATATATATGATTATTTTTGGTGGATTTTCAGACAAAAAAATTAGTGATTTTTTAAGCCGTTTCTCATTAATTTCAGACTCGAATTGTACCGTTTTTCAGGGAAAAATATAAGTGAAATCTAGTCAATTTTCATAGATTTCTAGATGAAAATTTTTACCATTTCAGACTAGATTTTATGCATTTCTGAGAGCTCAAATTTGACCGATTACCAGCTGGCTTTCAGAGTAGAAATTTCAGATTTCTCAGATTTTTATGCCGCCAAAAAAAATTGCCAAAAACCCACCCAACACATTTGTAGACAAACATCTTCCGATCGCGTTTATTCATAGCATACATGCCCTCGTAGGCGGCGACCGCCGCGAGCAATGACGGCGGGTAGAGCTGAAAAATGACTGGAATTATCTGGAAATTCGCCTGTTTCAACCAAAAAAGGCGTTTTAAAGGTGGGGGGACATGAAAAAAAATAATGTTCTCGAAATTCCGTTCAAAGATGCCCCTCGAGGAGTTGAACTTGTGAGGGCGATGATTGAGGGTGCGGCGCCGCTACCGACTGAGCCACGCGGGCAAAGAGAAAGCGAACGCCCGATTGCATACATAAAGGCGAGGACGACAGCTGTACGCAGAGTGACATTAAGCGTTGTACACCGTGACGGTAGAATGCATACTCTAGCTACAAAAAAACTACGAAAAATCTCCTGTCCCCCCACCTTTAAGCCGAAAAAACTATGTTTCTGCCATTTCTGGAGCCAAAAAATCTCATTTTGGCGCTTTTTCAAGCCAAAAAATACCATTTTCACCAGAATTTTTAACAGACAACTGGAATTTGGGGCCCAAAAACCCTGGGTTTTGCCTCTTATCTATCCAAAAAAGAACCATTTTCAGCCGAATTTTCTATAGAATTATGACATTTCTGATGCCAAAAACACTAATTTTGGCCATTTTTTTGCGCCGGAAAAAGACCATTTTTCAGCCAAAAAAGGTCAATTTTGGGCCAAATTTACAAACGAAAACTCGGATGCTGGTAGGAGCACCTTTTTTTGCACATTTTTCAGCAAAAAAATGACAATTTTCAGCCAAATTTTTGTTAGAAATCTCGGCTTGTGACATTTCAAACGCCAACAACACTCATTTTAAACCATTTTCAGCCAAAAAAGAGGCTATTTTCAGCCAAAAAAAAACCAACATCCGCCAGCTCCTTCGTCGTTGTCTCATGCTCGAGTTTCGGCCAATAGTGACTGGAAGCGACGCATCCGGACACTGGAATCATTCCAGGCGTCAATTCTCGCACATTCTCGCATCGACAATCGATCTCTTGGCTCTGCATGACGTCACGGAGCATCACTTCACAGTGTTGGAGCTCACTGTATTGAAAACGGAGCTTCAGAAGGTCCAGATAGCGTTTTTCGAAGAATGCCTGGAAATTCCTGGGGTTTTGAGCTCTTGAAAAGCGAATTTAGAGGTTTAAAAACCACATTTTCAGCATGAAAATCAAATTTTGAGATCTTGAAATTAGCCAGTTTCAGTTGAAAATTTTGTAGAAAATCAGTTTTGGTTTTTCGGAGGCTAGGAATGGGTGAAAAATAAGCGTAAATACAGAAAAATTGACAAAAATTGTCTTTGAAAAGTTTAGAAAAGGATTACTGTAGATCTTGCGAACTACAGTAATCTTCAAAATTGGGAAATTTCTTTTCAATTTCTACAAAAAAAACAGTATTCCTGGAACTCAAAAAATTGGAAAATTTGAAGAAAACAATAATCTACAGTAATCCAGCGCTACAGTAGTCCAAAAAAAAGTGGGCGGGGATTTTTAACGAAGCCCCGCCCCTTTTTGGATTTTTTGAATTAAAAAGCGAATTTGGAGGTCTAAAAAACAGAATTCCAGCATGAAAATCAAATTCCAAGTCTGGAGAATAGCCATTTTCAGTTTAAAAATTTGCTGAAAATCAATTTTGGTGGTTTCGGGACGGGGTTTCGTGTTACAAAGCCCCGCCCACTTTTCTTTTATGGATTACTGCAGCTTTTTCAAGAATTTCCCAATTTCGAAGATGCCTGAAGTTCGACAAATCTACAGTAATCATTTTCTCGACATGATCTTTGCGATTTTCAGCAATTTTCCAGCCAAAAAACTCCTTTTTTCTATATAAAATCAAAATTCCTCCTCACATCCTTCTTATCGGATCCTGACAGTCTCTCGGCTAGCAGATTACGGTACTCCTTCACAAACAATTCCTTGGATCCGTACACCGAAACAAGCATGTTGAACACGTCGACTCCTTGTCGTCCTGGGGCTCCGTCGCCTGGAAATCATCGGGATTTACAGACACACAGATGGACACATTGGCGTTTTCAGCGTCAAAAACAGCGGATTTTTGAGTGAAAATTCACAATTTTCGGGGGTGGTTAAAAATTTTATTTTTGCCAATTTTAGGTCATTTTTAGGACGTTTAAGTCAATTTTAGGACATGTTTATTAAGCCAATTTCGGGTTTTTAAAGGGTAATTTTGGGTAATTTTTGTGCGAATTTCAGGGCTTTTCCGGCCAATGTTAGGTCATTTTTGTTCGATTTTCATGCATTTCTGGCGAATTTTAATATATTTTTTTAGCTAATTTCAGGTCATTTTTGCCAATTTCAGGAAATTTTGGTCTATTTTAGGTCATTTTTGGGCGGATTTCAAGATTTTTTGGTCAGTTCAAGACATTTTTGGTCAATTTCGGGTCATTTTTAGCAAATGTCCAGACTTTTTTGGTGATTTTCAGGACATTTGTGGTCAATTTTAGGTCATTTTCAGGAAATTTCCAAGCAAATTTCAGGTCATTTTTGGTCCATTTTAGGTCATTCTCGGTCATTTTCGAGCGAATTTTTTCATCCATTGCAGATCATTTTTAGCAAATTTCCAGACTTTTTTGTCATTTTCAGGACGTTTTTGGTCAATTTTAGGTCATTATTATGGTAGAAATAGTTTTTTTTTTTGATCGATTTTAACGCATTTTTGAACTAATTTCAAGCCGTATCAGATCATTTTTAGCGAATTTCCAGACTTTTTTGGTCATTTTCAGGACGTTTTCCGGCATTTTAAAGCTAATTTCGACACTCACCAACATTGGCATCAGTCGGATTCGGTGTCCACGTGTCCCATCCTTTACATTCCATATTTTCCGGCAGAAAATCGTCATTCACACCGCGCAACTCCTCCTCGTCCATCATTGCCGATCGGACCGTTTTTGACTGAAACTTTTGGATTTTTTTTGTATCTTTTTGGAGGGATTACTGTGTACTTACCATATCCTTTTCCAGCTCATTCTTCTTGCTCGACGTGATATAGGTGATGATTTGTTGGACAGTGTCCGGCCGGCGTCTGAAATGTTTTAATGGAATTTCTAGAGGTTTTTAGCTATGAATTTCAGCTTTTCACTCGAAAATCCTCTATTTTTAAGGATGAGCAAATTTGAGTCATTTTCAGCTTTAAATTAGTTTTTTTCAGCAAAATTTTGGGACATTTTAGGTTATTTTTAGCGTATTTTAAGTCTTTTAGATGAATTTTAGGACCTTTTCAGTCAATTTCCAGACATATTCGATCAATTTTAGGTCATTTTCCGGCATTGTTGAAACATTTCGAGCTATTTTGAAGCCATTTTCAAGCATTTTTCAGTAAATTTCCGGTAATGTCTGATCAATTTTAGGGTTTTCAGCGAAATTTTCATAGAATCTCGCCGTATTCTAGGCATTTTCAGCTTGAAATAGATCAATTTCATCCTCAAAATCTGGAAATTTCATATAAGTATCTTATATTTATGGATGAGCAATTTTATTCAAATTTCAGCAAATTTTCTGCTAAATTTCGTAATTTTTAGTTCATCTTCCCCCCATTTTCAGCTTTAACTAGATCAATTTCAGCTGGTAAAACGCATTTTTCAGCTCAAAAAAGTCTCAAAACTCACTTCAAATACTCTCGAATCACTCCACAAACTTTGTGCATCACCACACAGCTGCTGTCCATCTCACGAAGAGCCTCGACGCAGGAAGCGTACGCTTGGAGGATGGTTTTCGTGTCGACGGCTGAAATTTGCCTTTCTTGGCTTGAAATGAGCTCAAAAATCGTATTTTCAGTTCAATTTTCGCCATTTTTTGCATAAATTATGGCTGAAATGCTCCGAAAAATCTGTATTTTCACCACTCAAATTCGCTCAAAAACCTCCCTTTCGGGCCAATTTTCGCCATTTTTTTCGGGATTTTCAGTACATTTATGGTTGGAATAATTTTCCGTAAATTTTGAAAATTCAGGCTCAAAATTACTTTTAAAAACCAAATTTTTATGCTGAAAACCCTTCGAAATTCAGTGTTTCAGAGATTAAAATTGGCTCCAGAAACCTCATTCTTAGGTCAATTTCAGTCATTTTTCCAGATTTTTCGACCTAAAATTCAACTTTTTCAGATCAATACTCACAAGCAATCAGGAGATTCGTTTCCACCGAGAAAATGAGACGTTTCGTGAGTGCGTCTCTACCATAGTTTCCAGTTTTCATGAGGCAATACTTCATTGTGATGATCTCGCGAAACTTTTGCGGGAATTGCACGGCAACCATTTCGTAGGCCTGGAATAATTGGTATTGATTGAAATTGGCTGAAATTTTAGGAGTTTTTTTATATTTTCCTAATCAGGGATCTTCCTGATTTTTCAGAATTTTTCAAATTTTTGATTTTCTGAAATTCTGATTTTTCAAATTTTTGAACTCAGAAAAGGAATGTCAAAATTTCGACTTTTCCGGATTTTTGGATTTTTCGAGTTTTTCAGAATTTCGATAATTTTTTTCTGAAATTGCGATTTTTTAAACTTTTTGGAACTTTCAAATTTTGGAATTTTTCGAACTTCTGAAAGGTTTTTTCTTCGATTTTCTTCAAAGTTTTTAGACCTTTTTATGTTTTTCAGCTATTTTAAAACATTCTTTTTCGATTTTTCCAGAGTTTTTTGTCTGTGATTTGATGGTTTTTGCGAGGATTACTGTAGATTACTGTAGAAAATTCTGTATTTTGTAGTTTTTTTTAATCAGCATTTTGACGTGATTGTGTTTACAAAAAACTACAGTAATCTACAGTAGCCTTCGCGAACACCGATTACCGTTCCATCAATTTCTTGCAGAACAACTCGGAAAAATCGAAAATCGAATTTTTGAAAATAGCTGAAAAACCTGAAAAGGTCTAAAAATTTTGCGAAAAAAAATCGAGGAAAAATCCAAAAAGGGGCGGGGCTTCGTTAAGAACCCCGCCCACTTTTTAAACGGAGAAATTGCAATTCTTGAAATCTGGAAATTCTGAAAATCGAATTTTTTGGGGTACTGTAGCTCTGGATTACTGTTTTTGAGTTCCAAGAATACTGTTTATTTTTTTGTAGAAATTCCAAATATTCCCAATTTGAAGATTACTGTAGTTCGCAAGATCTACAGTAATTTTTTTTAGACATCATTTTTTGAGATTTTTAGCCATTTTCAGAGCCGAAAAAGTCACTTTTAGTGCGATTTTCCAGCCGAAATTTTCATTTTTTTCTCAAAAAATAAGGAATTTCTAAGAAACTGAATTTTTTAGGTTCTAATTCCAGGATCTCAGAATCCTAAAATACCATAATCCGAACTTTTCAGTGCAATTTTTTCTCGATTTTTCCGTATTTTCCACCCATTCCTAGCCATTTCCCCTCCGAAAAAAACCCACATTCTTGGACAACATCTGAAAGACATCCTTATAAATCTGATCGGAAACCAAGTGATACGCATCCTGCAGCGTCATCGCATCCGCCCAAATTCGAAGACTCTCCATGTATTCTTGGAGCATTGAGCATCTCAATTCGTTATCAAATGCCTGTTTCTCGTGCATGACCATCGAGGCGGCGAGCTCTCGAATGTACAGGGATACTGCTGCGTTGATGTGTCGATTCGCGTTGACGATTCCCGTTTTTCTGGAAATTTAAGGGGGTTTTTAGAAATAAATATGGCTGAAAATGACCTTAAAAGTGATCATTTTCACATAAATCTGGCTGAAAATAGATAAGATCGGTTCTGGATCGTTTTTGAGGTCAAAAATAGCATATTTTTAAGCTAAAAAATTGATTTTTGAGGTCAAAATAGGTAATTTTATATTCAAAATTTGAGATTTTGGAGTCAAAATTCCGATTTTTGGTACTTAACCAGGCAAAATTTGGAGTCTAAATCGAATTTTTCGCTATAAAGATGACATTTCTGAGATTCGAATATGACATTTAGCTTAAAACCTGTGAAATTTAGAATTTTCAGATCACAAAATTGACACTTCTGAGCTCCAAAATCTTGATTTTCAGACTCTAGAACTGAAATTTCGAGACCCAAAAATGACATTTTCAGCTTGAAACCTGTGAAATTTAGAGTCAAAAATTAAGAATTTCCAGTCGAAAATTAACATTTTTAAACTTGAAAAATGACATTTCTGCGCTCCAAAAATGACGTCTTCCGGCCAAAAAATGGCAATTCTGAACTCGAAAATCAAGATTTTTAGACTCCAAAACTGGCATTTTCAGCTTAGAAACTGGAATTTTTTCGGAATTTTCAGGATTTTCGGGGTTTTTTTAACGAAAAAACCATGAGTTTTAGAGTGAAAATGATAATTTCAGCATAATTTTGGCTGGAAAATGCATAAAATCAATTTTCTATTATTTCTAGGCAAATTTCAGCCATTTTCAGCGAAATTTGACTGCGAACTAATTCAAGAATTTTCAGGAAATTTCGGAATTTTGGGGGTTTTTTTTTGAAGAAAAATTCGGGATTTTCAGCATGAAAATGACCTGAAAATGAAAAATTTTCGACCAATTTAAGCAAAATTTGACTTTTCCGACCCATTTTTCAGATTTTTAGTCAAAAAAACTCACAATTCGTTGACAAATGCGGTGAAATCATGCACATATTGCTGATTCCGCTCCTTCTTCTGATCGGTCCACAGATCTTCGTTCAAATCGATGCCATGATCGATTTTCCGGATTGGATTGTAGCCGGCTACTGGAAAATTTGGAATTTGAAGAGATTTTCAGTATTTAAAGAGGAAAATGTTTAATTTTTACATCGAAAATTGGCCCAATGCGATAGAAAATACGGTCGGAGCACTTGAATGACGACTTTTTGCATGGAAAGTGGGAAGATAAGTTCGGCGGCGTGGTGGACGTCTGGATTTCCGATTCCGTTGTCTAGAGCGAACTGGAAATCAATTTTCAGTTGAAAATTCGTGATTTTAGAGAGTTTTTGATGTAGAAAAGTCTGAAACTTTGGATTTATAGCCCTAGAATCATGTTTTTTCCACTGAAATTTAATTTTTCAGAAACTTAAAGGTTTTCAGGCATTTTTGATTATTTTCACAGCTTTAAATTGTAATTTCCAGCATTTTACGCAGCTTTTTCAGCTTATTATGCAGTTTTCCTCAGATTTTTCCAGAATTTTCAGCGATTTTCAGCCTCAAACCCACCACCAGGCATTCTTGTTGGACTCGCTGCAACACTGTCGTCATATCGTACACCTTTTCAATGTGTTTCGCCTGTTTTGAGTACTGAATCAACGCTTCCCATACTTCTCTCTTCTTTGAGATGCAAAATTCTCTGAAAATCGATTTTTTCCAAAATTTTTTCGCTAAAATTGTGGAGAATTCACCTATATTGTCGTGCGGCTTCTGGAGAAGTAGTCATTCTGTCAAAAAGCGACATTTTTTGGCGAAAAATTGCCTTTTTTCGGGGGCGGATAACGAGGGATGAGACGGAAATGATGACATTTATTCATTGGGGTTACGGTAGGTTAAAGGCGCATGCAATTTAAAAGGGAGGGGTTTCGACAGGAAATTAGGTTTTCTATTGTTTTAAAGTGCTTAAAGGAAGTTTTTCATGCTAAAAAAATTTCAAAATGCTCATTGCTCCATCACTCAGTTGTTCTAATGCTAAAAGTGCAATACACAACGCTCGGGAGGCAGATTTAGACTCACAGTTCGCTGGGGCGCGTTTGCATCGGCAAGGGCATCATTTGCTCATTTTAAGCGGGAAAAACTGGATTTTTCTGGTTTCTGTGCTAAAAAATAGAAAAAGAATCATTTAAAAATGTATCCATGCTTTCAGGGCACCAGAATGGTCCGAATGCGGCCCGATTTGCAGTGTTTTAACCCGAGGGACTATCAAGTGAGCCGGGGAATTTGGATTTTTGGATTAAAAGACAACATTTTTCAGGTAGAACTCTTGGATAAAGCCTCGAAAAAGAACACGATAGTTCAACTGGGCACAGGATCCGGAAAAACGTTCATCGCCGTGCTCTTATTGAAGGAATATGGAGTTCAAATGTTCGCTCCGCTGGAAAATGGCGGGAAAAGAGCATTTTTTGTGGTTGAAAAAGGTAGAAATTGGCTGAAAATTAAAGAAAAATCACTTTAAAAATGTTGGAAAATCGAGATTTTCAACAAAAAATTGTTTTTCTGAAAAATTTTTAATTTCGTTTTTAACCAATTTCAGCATAAAAATATCAATTCTGAGCATTTTCTTCTGAAAATTATTGATTTTTAGCTCAAAAAACCCATTTTCAGTCAACCTAGTGGAGCAACAGGCCGCCCATATCGAGGTACACACCAGTTTCAAGGTTGGACAAGTCCATGGGCAGACCAGCAACGAGTTGTGGAAGAGCACAGAGACTTGTGATGAATTCATGAGGCAGAATCATGTGAGCTAGCGAAATTGGCAATTTTTGAGCGAAAAATGAGCCATTTTCAGCTAAAATTGCTCATTTTAGCTCAATTCTAGCGCAATTTTTCCCCAAAAACTTCAAATTCCCCTCCAGGTCGTCGTCATCACTGCTCAATGTCTTCTGGACCTTATCAATCATGCCTATGTCCGTCTTCAGGACACGTGTGTCTTGATTTTCGACGAATGCCATCACGCCCTGGGATCCAAACACCCGTATCGGCTGATTATGTCGAAGTACAAGGAGTTGAAGAAGGGTAAGGGATGAAAAATAGCTGAAAATTGGTTTTTGGAGTCTTAAATGTAATTTTGACCCCAAAAATGCCAAATTTTGACTAGAAATTATGAATTTTTGAGCCGAAAAATGCTAAAAAGGATCTAAAGCTATACATTTTTGCACTAGAATGTGTTTTTTTGCACATTCAAAACCCTAAAAACGCTATTTTTGAGTCACAAAATGCTCGAATTTCGTCCCCAAAAATGCCAAATTTCGCCTCGAAATTCCAGATTTTTGGTTCAAAAAACGTTGAAATTCGAATTTTTGAACTTGGGGAAATGCTGAAAATAGACCTAACAAGCCTAATTTCGGACCAAACAAATCCAAATTTAGACTCGAAATGTTCGATTTTCGAGTCTAAAAATGCCGAATTTGTACATTTCTGACCGTAAACTTGTATTTTTGAACATGAAAATGCCATATTTGAGTCTGAAAATGTCTAATTTCGGTCATAAAAATGTGGTTTTTGAATATTAAAAGACCGAATTTAGGCTCAAAACGTTTGAAATTTGAATTTCGAAACCTGAAAGTGCTTGAAGTATGCCTAAAAATGCCAATTTTTGGACTGAAAAATTACATTTCGGCTTCAAAATACCGATTTTGGCTCTAGAAATGCCAAATTTCGGATCTAAAAGCTCGAAAATCCCGAATTTCAACCTAAACATCCCAAAATTTCAGCCGGAATGCCAGTGCCACGAGTTCTGGGTCTCACCGCGAGTCTGATCAAGGAGAAAGTGGCGCCCGACAAGTTGTCTGAGCAATTGAACAAGCTGGAGAATGTGCTGGATAGTGTCATCGAGACGGCCAGTGATTTGGTGTCGGTAGGTTTTAAAAAATAGAATTCTGGCTCTCCGAGCTCTTCAGAATTCTCAAAAAATTCCGAAAAAACCTCAATTTGCTTCTAAAAATCCTTTGAAAATCGAATTTTTCTCATTTTCCAGATTCCCAGAGTCTCTAAAATCTTCCAAAAATTCCGAAAAAATCGATTTTCCAGCTTTTTGGACTTTTCAGAATCTCAAAAATTCTATAAAAAATCCAATTTTTTAGCTCCCAGGACCCTCCAAAATCCCAAATTTCCGAAAAAATGTAAAATTCAAATTTTGCCCTAAAAATGCCTGTTTTTGCTTTAAAATGCCTATTTTCGCCTTAAAAAAAGCTATTTTTGCTCCTAAAAAATCGCTATTTTTGCTCTAAAAATGACAATTTTCTTACATTTTTTTCCCAATTTTTATATTTTTGAAATTCAATTTTTTTAATTCTAAAAACCGAAGATTACCGATTTTGAGCCGGAAAAATGTCAATTTTGAACCCAAAATTCTGGATTTTTGCGAAAATTTCGGATTTCAAATTTTTGCAGCTCTCCAAATATGGCGCCCGCCCGTTCGAAGCAATCATTCTATGTCGAAATTTCGAAGCGGACCAACTCCGCCTTCGAAACTACGAGACCATCAGAGATCTGCTCAAGGACACTGAGGACTTTGTGAATCAAACTTCCGTATTCCATCCGGATTTGGATTTGGATCCACGTCGATCGATTCGAGACTCTCTTAAAACGACAAAGGCGGTTTTAAGACAGCTGGGACCGTGGGCGGCATGGAAGACGACTCAAATGTGGGAGAAGGAGCTGTCAAAACTGACGAAGACGAATATTCTACCCGAGAAGGCGTTGACTTTCCTGAATTTGGCACGGACGACAATGATTACGATCAAGAGACTCTTGGAACCGGAGGTATGGTTTCTTAGGAAATTTGGGACAATTTAGATGTTAAAATTGTTCAAAATCAGTGAAAATGAGTCATTTTCTATGTCAAAAATGTGTATTTTTAGCTGGAAAATGGCATTTTTGCGCAGAAAACGGTCAATTTTCCACTAGAAAATCCAAAATTTTGACTTAAAAATAGCTTTTTTAGAGCTGGAAATGTCATTTTTGGACCGAAAATCGCTATTTTTGGATTTTAAGACCCAAAAATATCAATTTTCGGGCTAAAATCGATCAGAAATATCCATAAAAACCAATTTTTCAATGTGAAAATTCCTATTTCAGCTCTAAAAATGCAAAATTCAATTTCAAAATACGAAATAATTTAGATGTTAAAATTGTTCAAAATCAGTCAAAATGAGTCATTTTCTATGTCAAAAATGCGACGAAAATTATTTTTAGGCCAAAAATCGCGGTTTTTGGAATTTTTGGACCCAAAAATATCAAAAAATGGGCCGAAATCAATCAAAAAATATTCATAAAAACCAATTTTTCGATGTGAAAATTCCTATTTCAGCTCTAAACATGTCAATTTTCAGAAACTTGATTTAAAATCGACTATTTTGAGCTCGAAAATATCATTTTTGGACCCAAAAATATCAACTTTCGGGCTGAAATTAGTCAACAAATCTTGAAAAAAAAATCAATTTTTCAAACTTTAAAATTCATATTTCAGATCCAAAAATGCCAATTTTCATATCATTTTTGAACCCGAAAATTGCTATTTTTTCTGTTTTTTAGCACGCAAAAATCGTCGAAAATCCGGCTAAAATCGAATTTTTCAGATTTTGAAAGTTCACATTTTTTGCCCTGAAAGTGCCAATTTTCATTAAATTTTTCTGAAAATAAAATCGAAAATAGCTGAATTTGAGCTTTAAAAATGCGCCAATTTTCGATCCGAAAATCGCGATTTTCGAGTTTTTTAAACCAAAAATTCGACTTTTTGAATGTAAAAATTACTATTTTTGCTAGAAAAATTCCAATTTTTGTCAGATTTCACTTTTTTCAAAATTCAATTTACCTCAAAAAATTTTCATGTTTTAAACTAAATTTTTTCCAAAAAAAAAAAAGTCAAAAATACAGATTTTAAGCCTAAAAATGGTGGCAATTTTCAACGCAAAAATCTCAAAAATTAGCTAAAAAACCCAATTTTTTCCAGAGAGATTTTTAGGAAATTTTGGGACAATTTAGATGTTGAAAATCAGTTAAAATGAGCCATTTTCTATGGCAAAAATGCGAAAAAAAAAGTTCATTTATAGCTGGAAAATTGGCTTTTTGGCTTGAAAATAGCTTTTCTTAGAGCTCAAAAATGCCAATTTTCGACCTTAAAAATCCTATTTTTGCTCTACAAATGCAATTTTTCACCTAATTTTTCCCATTTTTAATATTTTTTCATAAATCAATTTTTGTGAAATACCTAAGATCTAAAATTGCCGATTTTCAGTCCTGAAAGTCTCAAAAATCTGTCAAAATCCCAATTTTTTGCAGATGCGCGAAGTGAGAAGCCTGGCGGACCTTCAGAAATTCGTTCCACACCGATTCGTTCGAATTTTCGAGATTTTGGAGATGTTTCAGCCGGGATTCCAGACGGAACGACTCAGAAAAGAGAAACCAGAGAACCTTTCGGCTATCATTTTTGTGGACCAGAGATATATTGCCTACTCGTTGCATGTGAGTGCGGTTTTTTGAGGGTTTAGAAGAGAAAATTGAGTGTTTTGGACTGGAAAAATGGATTTAAACGGTCTGAAATAGTCGGAAAATTGGCTATTTTGAGATTTTAAATCCGATTTTTCAAAAAAAAAATCGGTTTTCCCAACACTATCCGCTTTTCTGGAGCCTCCAATTCTCGTTTTTCTCAGCTAAAAATTTGAATTTTCATTGAAATTTTCAACATTTTTCAGCTAAAATAACCCCAAATGAGTTTGAAATCCGATTTTTTACGATTTTCAGACTTTTTTCTTATTTTCTACCTATTTTAAGCCCTTTTTCGTATTATATTTCAAATTTTAGGTTTTTTTAGCTACAGTAATCCCTAATTTTTGCAGATAATGATCAAGGCGATTCGTTCGTGGGAGCCGAAATTCAAATTTCTGAACTCGGACTACGTCGTTGGCGCCAGTGGACAGAATTTGGCGAATTCCGATAATCAGGGATTGCATAAGAGACAGACGGATGTGAGGATTTTCAGATCTTATCACTGAAAAAGCTGAAAATTGAGAAAAATTGAATTTTCAAAATTTCATATTTTTCGAGATTTTTGGAATTTTTTTTTAATTCCAACAATCTCGAAAAGTATGAAATTCCGATAATTGAATCACCGTAAAACCTGTATTAAAAGGGCCCCTCTAATAGAAGGACCGTCAGAGAGGAGCTTGGGAAAATAGAAGGGCCTCCTCTAATTGAAGTGCCTCTGTAACAGAAGGGCCCTCTGGAGGTGCCTTGGATAAATTAGAAGGCAATCAGAATTTCAAATTTTCAGAATTCTAAGGATTTTGGAATTTTAAATTTTTTGAGATTAAAAAAACATTCCAAAAATCTCGAAAAATATGAAATTCCGAAATTCTTAGAATTCTGAAATTCTGAAAATCTGAAGTCCTGAGATTCTGAAATTTTGAAAATGTAGATTCTGAAATTCTGAAATTCTTAGATTGTCGGAACTTCTGAAATCTTGAAATTCAAAAAATCTAGATTCTGAAATTCTGAAAATCTGAAATTTCGAAGTTCCGAATTTTGGAAAAATTTAGAATTTTGAGATTTTTCACATTTTAATGATTTCCAGATTCTAGAAATTTCAAAAAATTTTGAATTTTGATATTTTCAGTATCTGACGATTTTGAGATCCTTGAATTTTCAAATTTTTAAAGATTTTTGAAATTTTTCGTAAATCTCAAAAGCCTCAAAAAATTCAGATTCTGAAGAGATTTTTCAAAATTTGTGAGCCATTTTTCGGTTTTTTCGAAATTCCTGATTTTTTCATTTTCCAGATTCTAAGAAAGCCAATAATTTGATAGTTCTGAAATTCTGAAATTTTGAAAATTCTGAAAATTTCAGTATTTTTCAAACTTTCCGACATTTCCAGGGTTTTTGGAATTTCGAGAAACCGAAATTTTCAAGAAATCTGAATTTTTGTGATTTCTAAAATTCCACAAAATCGGATTTGAGGAATTTCAAAAATGCAAAAACTCAATTAATTTCTGAAAATCCAATTTTCCAGACCCTGCGCCGTTTCCACAAAAGCGAGATCAACGTCCTCATCGCCACATCAGTCCTGGAAGAAGGTGTCGACGTCAAACAGTGTAACGTCGTCATCAAATTCGACCGTCCACTCGATATGCGTAGTTATGTGCAGTCGAAGGGTCGTGCACGAAAACCCGGCTCCACATACGTCGTTCTAGTCGATCAGAAGGATGTGACGGCGTGCGACGATGATTTGAAGAATTTCCAGCAGATTGAGAAGGTTTTTAAAGCTATTTTTGGCCAAAAACGAGCCAAATTTCGTTGTTCTTGGGGAATTTTTGACTCCAAAAGTCCCATTTTTCATGTAAAATGTGTCTTTTTATTCATTTTCCGAAAAGAAAATTGCGTTTTTCATACTGAAAATGGTCATTTTTGTTCATTTTAACCCATTTTTTCATTGAAAAGTCCCATTTTTCATTTTAAAAAACTGATTTTTCATACAGAAAATGTCTATTTTGGCTTATTTTAACCCTTTTTCAACTGAAAATCAGCCAAAAAACAGCTAAAATCAGTCAGTTTCGGACTTTTTTGATCCCAGAATTCGAAATTTTCGGACAGAAAATGTCCAATCTGGCTTATTTTAACCGATATTTCCAGCCAAAAGTCACCCTAGAACCTTCCAGATCCTTCTCAGCCGCCATCGAACCGTCAACAATCCCACTGAGGACGATTCTGGAGACTTCAATCTAGATGACGTAGATCTATTGATGGCTCCATATGTGGTAGAATCCACTGGCGCCGAGTTGAAGCTTTCTAATGCGATTGCACTGGTTAATCGGTGAGAGAAGGGCGTTTTTGGCCTCTAAATTTCAAGCTAAACTAGCTCAAAATCATTCCAAAATGGTTCGGAATTAGACTAAAATACGGCTAAAATGGTCTAAGTATGGCTTAAAATAGTCCAAAATTAGACAAAAATTGTTCATAAACCTATCGAAAGTCGTCTAAAATAACCTTAAAATGGCCGAAAATCACTCTAAAGTAGTCGAAAATTGCGCTGAAAATATCCAAAGTCAGCCAAAAATAATCCAAAAGCACTCTAAAATTATTAAATCTCATCCGAAAAATGTCCAAAATCAACCTAAACTGCTTTTAAGTTGGTCTAAATAGGTCCGAAATTAGCCAAAAATTGTCCTAACCAGCCAAAGATAAGCCAAAATGAGCCAAAAAATAGTACAAAATCTGTCAAAAATGATCTGAAATTGTCAAAAATCGATCTAAACTGGTTTGAAATCAATCTAAAGTGGTCCAAAATTACTCTAAATGGTTCAAAATTAACCTAAAATGTCCCAAAATCAGCCGAAAATTGTCCAAAATCAACCAAAACTGCTTTTCAATTGGCATAAACAGGTCCGAAATCAGCCAAAAAAATGGTCCTAAAACAATCTAAACTTGTCGAAAATCAACCTGAACTGGTCGAAAACCAACCAAAAGCTGTATAAAATTGGCATAATAAGGTTCAAAACCCGCTAAAAATAGCTCAAAATCAGCAAAAAACAGTTTAAAATCAGCCTAAAAGGATCCAAAAAATTAGCCAAAAATTGTCGAAAATCAATTTGAACTGGGTTTAAATGGGTTTAAAGTGGTCCAAAAACACTCTAAATTATCAAAAATCAGCCAAAATCGGTCTAAAATCAATCTAAAATGATTCAAAATCAGCCAAAAGTTGTCCAAAATCAACCTAAAGTGGTTTCAAATTGGCCTGAAGAGATCCGAAATTAGCCAAAAATTGTTCATAAACCTGTCGAAAGTCGTCTAAAACAGCCTTGAAATGGCCGAAAATCACTCTAAAGTAGTCGAAAATTGCGCTGAAAATATCCAAAGTCAGCCAAAGATGGTTCAAAAGCACTCTAAAATTATTAAATCTCATCCGAAAATTGTCCAAAATCAACCTAAACTGCTTTTAAGTTGGCCTAAAATTGTCCAAATTTGATCTAAAATAGTCCAAAATTGGTCTAAAATAGTCTTAAACATTCTAAAACTGTCGAAAATCGCTCTAAAATGATCCAAAATCAGCCAAAAGTTGTCCGAAATCAACCTAAAGTGGTTTCAAATTGGCCTGAAGAGATCCGAAATAAACCGATAATGGTCCTAAAACAATATAAAGTCGTCTAAAATAACTTTAAAATAGCCGACATTCACTCTAAAGTAGTCGAAAATCGCTCTAAATCCATAATTTCAGGTACTGCTCCAAACTCCCATCGGACATTTTCACTCGCCTCGTCCCGCACTCCCGAATAATCCCAGTTGAGGATCGAGGCGTCACCAAGTACTGTGCAGAGCTCCTTCTCCCAATTAACTCTCCAATTAAGCATGCAATTATCCTAAAGGACGCCATGCCGAATAAGAAGATTGCTCAGATGGCAGTGGCCCTCGAGGCGTGCAGACAGTTGCATCTGAAAGGAGAACTCGATGATAATCTATTGCCGAAGGGTCGAGAATCGATTGCTAAGCTTCTGGAGCATATTGACGATGAGCCGGATGAGTATGCGCCGGGGATGACGGCGAAAGTGGGATCGTCGAAGAGAAAGCAGTTGTATGACAAGAAGGTATCGGGGTTTGGGGAAATTTGGGTAATTCGAAATTTCAAAAAATTCAAAAATTTGAAAGTTTTTAGAATTTTTGAAATCGCAAAATTTTCCCCTTTTTGGCATTTTGATATTTTTGGAATTTTTGGAATAATTGGATTTTTTCTCGGAATTTTCGATTTTTTTCAAATTTTTAGCTTTTTTGAGATTTTTGGAGCTTCTGGAATCTTGAAAATCTTGAATTTCCGTATTTTTGAAATAGTGGAATTTTTTATTTTTCGAGTTTTGAATTCCTGGAATTACTGGAATTTCCAAATTTTTGAAAAATTCGAGCTTCTGGGTTTATGAGATTTTTTGAATTTTTTGGCATTCCTGGAATTTCCAAAATTTTGAAAAATTGGAATTTCTGAAATTTTCGCATTTTCAGATTTTTTTTTGGAAATTTTGATTTTTTTTTGGATTTTGGAATTTTCTGAATTTTCGAAATTTTGAAATTTGTATTTCCGCCTTTTAGAAGTTCAGAAATTTAGATTTTTCAGACTTTACGAACTTCCGGATTTTCGAATTTCTGGAATTTTTCGGATTTTTAGGAATTTTGATTTTTTAAATTTTTGATTTTTTAAAATTGGAGTTTCTGGGATTATGATATTTTTTGAATTTTTGAATTCCTGGAATTACTAAAATTTCGAAAATTTTAAAAAATCGGAGTTTCTGAAATTTTCGCATTTTGAGATTTTTTTTTTTTGAAAATTTTGAAATCTGAACTTTACGGACCATAAGATTTTTGAAAATTTTCAATTTTTAGATTTTTTGGATTTTTTAAAAAATTCTGAAATTTTTTAATTTTTGAAATTTCAAAACCTAGCTAGCTGCTGACCCATTTTCACGAAAATCGCAAAATCTTAACGAGATTTCCAGATCGCTCGCGCCCTCAACGAATCCCTCATCGAGCCCGACAAAGACTGCTACATTTACGCATTCGAGCTGGAATGTTTCCGAGAACCCGAACCCGTCGCCAATCCGAAACGCCGAAAATTCCAGAATCCCACAGAATACGAGTACTGTTTCGGATTCCTCAGCACCAAGGACATCCCCAAGATTCCCCCATTCCCTCTATTCCTGCGTCAGGGCAATATGGAGGTCCGTCTAACAGTGGCTCCAGAGAAGACACGTGTCACCGAAGAGCAGTTGGAGCAAATTCAATACTTCCACAACTATCTCTTCACTCAAGTCCTTCAAATGTGTAAAACGGGAAATTTAGTCTTTGATGCTACTGTCAATGCGCCTTTAAACACCCTGATTGTCCCGTTGAACAAGTGTAAGGCCTGAAAAAACCTAATCTTTCAGCCTAAAATGCCTATTTCCAGCTAAAGAAGGCACCTACTCAATCAATATGAAGTACGTCACAGAAGTAGTTGCCAATATGGAGAATATGCCACGTGTGCCGACAGAAGACGTTCGTAAGGGATTCAAGTTCAACGCCGACGCCTACAAAGACGCAATTGTGATGCCTTGGTATCGAAATGTCGAGCAGCCGGTGTTCTACTACGTGGCGGACATCCTGACGGACCTCCGACCGAGTTCGCAGTTTCCGGATTCGAATTTCAGGACTTTTAATGAGTATTTCATTAAGAAATATCATTTGGAGATTTACGATCAGGATCAGTCGCTGTTGGATGTCGATTTTACGTCGAAGTGGGTTCTTCTCTCAGCGTCGATATTTTCAAACCAACTACATTGGATATGATAGAGCTTGGAAAGAGTTACAAAGTGATACTAATTAGAGAGCTGTATCTAGTCTATGAGCAAAGTTATAAGCCAAAAACGAGCCGAGCTATCTTTGTCATTCCCTGTTGAAAATTCCAAATTTCGATAATTGATTGATATCTTCTTCTTCCTCCACCGCATCCTTCTCCGCAAACTCATCCAAATCCACAGTCTCCTCAATTCTCCGTGGCTTCTCTCGCTCCTCAGACATCTCCATTGCTTCTAACCGCTCTTTTGCCTTCTCCAGAAGTTCCTCCTGAATCTTTTTCAGCTTCTTCTCCTCTTCAGTCAATGCGGATTCTGGTAGTGGAGCTGCTGCTGGTGCTGGCGTCTCTGTCATCGGAGCCAACGACGCTCCAGGAGCTCCTGGCGGTCCGACCGGATCGAATACTCGGCCAACGTCGGCCATGAGGGCTTGCATGTTGAGACCGCCCGTGGTGCCGCCAATTATTTGCTGGAATTTCATATTTT